GACAGATCATGGTGGCTGAAATTTAACAAATATATTCAGGACCTGAAATCAGCACAGAACCAAATGGACCTGATAAACATCTACAAAACTCTCTATCCCAAAACAAGAGAATATACATTCTTCTTTTAGCCACACAGCACAAACTCTAAAATCAATCACATGGTGGGAAATAAAACACTCCTCAGCAAATACAAAAGAACTGAAATCATAACAACAAGTCTCTCAGAAAACAGCACCATGAAATTAGAAATCAAGACTGAGAAATTCACTCAAAACCATACAATTACATGGAAATTTAATAAGTTGCTCCTGAATGACTTTTGAGTAAATTATCAAATTAAGGCTGAAATCAAGACGTTCTTTGAAACTAATGAGAATGAACATACAACATACCAGAATCTACGGACACAGTTAAAGAAGTATTAAGAGGAAATGTGTAGCACTAAATGCTCACATCAAAAAGTTAGAAAGATATCAGTGTAACTACCTAACGTCACACTAAAAGAACGAGGAAACCAAGAGAAAACCAACCTCAAAGCAATCAGAAGACGAGAAATAACCAAAACCAGAGCTAAACGGAAAGAGACTGAGATATAAAAAAAAAAATCAAAATATCAACAAATCCAGGAATTACTTTAAAAATAATAAAATAAATGGACTACAACTAGACTATAAAGAAGAAAAGAGAAAATATTCAAATAAACACAATTAGAAATGACAAAGGGGATATTTACAGATAAATTCTACCAGATGTACAAATAAGACCTGGTACCATTCCTGCTGAAACCATCCCAAAAAGTTGAAGAGGAGGAACTCCTCCCTAACTCATTCTACAAAGCCAGCATCATCTTGATACCAAAACCTGGCAGAGACACAAACCCTAAAAAGAAAATTTCAGGCTAATATCCTTGATGAAAATCGATGCAAAAATTCTCAACAAAATACTGACAAACCTAATCCAGCAGCACATCAAAAAGTCTATCCAGCAGAATCAAGTTGGTTTTATCCCTGGGGTGCAAGATTGGTTGAACATACACAAATCAATAAATTCGATTCATCACATAAACAGAACTGAAGATAAAAATCACATGATTGTCTCAATAGATGCAGAAAAGGTTTTCCATACAATTCAACACCCCTTCATGTTAAAAATGCTCAGCAAACTAGATATTAAACAAATGAATATTCCTCAAAATAATAAGAGCCATCTGTAACAAATCCACAGCCAATATGATACTGAATAGGGAAAAGCTGGAAGCATTCCCCTTGAAAACCGGCAGAATACAAGGATGCCCTCTCCCACTACTTCTATTCAACGTACTATGGAAAGTCTTGGCCAGAGCAATCAAGAAAGATAAGGGTAGAAAGGAGATCAAAATAAGAAGACAGGAAGTCAGACTATCCTTGTTTGCACATGACATGATTCTATATCTAGGAACAAAAGTTCTTTCATCAGATAAACAACTTCAGCAATGTTTCAGGATTCAAAAACAGCGTACAAAAATAAATCACTAGCACTCCTATATACCTACAACAGCCAAGCCAACAGCCAAATCAAGAACACAATCCCATTTGCAACAGTGGCAAAAAGAATAAAATACCTAGGAATACAACTAACCAGGGAGGTGAAAGATCTCTACACAGAGAACTATAAAGCATTGCTGAACAACATCAGAGATGACACTAATAAATGGAAAAACATTCCAAGCTCATTAATAGGAAGAATCAATACAGTTAAAATGGCCAAGCTCCTCAAAGCAGTTTACAATTTCAGTGTGATTCCTCTCCTATCAAACTACCAATGACATTCTTCACAAAACCAGAAAAAACAATTATAAAATTCTATGGAATCAAAAATGAGCCTGAATAGCCAAGGTAATCCTAAGCAAAAACAAAAAAGCTGGAGTCATCGTGCTACCTAACTGCAAACTATACTACAAGGCTGCAGTAACCAAAACAGCATGGTACTACTACAAAACAGACACAGAGATTAATGGAACAGAAGAGGGAACCCAGAAATAAAGCAACACACCTGTAACCATCTGATCACCAAAAAATGTGACAAAAACAAGCAATGTGGAAAGAACTCCCTATTCAATAAATGGTGCTGGGACAACTGGCTAGCCCTATGCGTAAGATTGAAACTGGATGCCTTCCTTATACCATATACAAAAATCAACTCAAGATGAATTAAAGACTTAAATGCAGAGCCCCAGATTATAAATACCCTGGAAGACAACCTAGGCAATACCATTCTGGACATAGGGACAGGCAAATATTTTATGACAAAGACACCAAAAGCAATTGCAATGAAATAAAAATTGACAAATAGGATCTAATTAAACCAAAGAGCTTCTGCACAGCAAAGGAAACTATCAACAGAGTAAACAGACAACCTACAGAACGGGAGAAAAGTTTTGTAAAGCGTGCATCTGATAAAGGTCTAATATTCAGCATCTATAAAGAATTTAAACAAATTTACAAGAAAAAAAACCCAACCCCATTAAAAAGTGGGCAAAGGACAGAAATAGACACATTTCAAAGGAAACATACACATAGCCAACAAGTATATGAAAAAAAAACTCAATATCACTGATCATTAGAGAAATGTAAATACTATCTCACACCAGTCATAATGGCCATTACTACAAAGTCAAAAAATAAAAAGTGCTGGAGACTTGCAGAGAAAAACAAAGGCTTATACGTTGTTGGGGGAAGTGTAAATTAGATCAACCATTGTGGAAAACAGTGTGGCAACTACTCAAACAACTGAAAACAGAACTACCATTCCAACCAGCAATCCCATTACTTGGTATATACCCAAAGGAATATAAACCATTCTGTGTCATAAAGACACACGCACATGTTATGTTCATTGCAGCACTATTCGTAATAGCAAAGACATGGAATCAAACTAAGTACCCATCAATGATAGACAAGATAAAGAAAATGTGATACATATATACCATGAAATACTATGCAACCATAAAAAAAGAAATCAAGTCATTTGCAGGAGCATGAGTAGAGCTGGAGGCCATTATCCTCAGAAAACTAATGCAGGAACAGAAAATCAAATACCACATGTTCTCACTTATAACTGAAAGCTAAATGCTGAGAAAACATGGACACATAGAGGGGAACAACAGACAATAGGGCCTATTGGAGGGTAAAGGTTAGGAGGACAGAGAGGATCAGGGGAAATAACTAATGCGTACTATGATTAATAACTGGGTGATGAAATAAGCTGTACAATAAACCCCAGTGATATGCATTTACCTATATAACAAACCTGCACATGTGCCCCTGATCTTAAAATAAAAAATTTTTTAAAAATAGCAGATGCTGGACAGGATGCAAAGAAAAAAGAAGTCTATATACTTCTGGCGGGAATGTAAATTAGTACAGCCGCAGTGGAAAGCAATACAAAGATTTCTCCAGAAACTAAAAACAGAACCACTGTTCAATCCTGAAATTCAACTACTGTGTATCTATCCAAAGAAAAAGAAATCAGTCCATCAAACGGATGCCTGAACTCCCATGGTTATTGCAGTACTATTCACAATAGCAAAAATATGTAACCTAAGCGTCCATTAACGAATAAATAGAAAAAGAAAATATTGTATAGACACACAATGAAATCCTATTTTGTTGTAAAAAAGAATAAAATCATGTCATGTGCAGCAACACGGATGGAACTGGAGGCCATTATGTTAAGTAAAACAAGTCAAACAGGGAAAAACAAATACTGCAAGTACTCACTCATCTGTGGGAGCTACAAAAGTTGATCTATAAAGGTAGACAGCAGAATGATAGATACCAGAAGCAGGGAAGGATGTTCAGGGGGTGGAGAATGAAGAGATGCTGGTTAAATAGTACAAACATAGATATACGTAAAAGAGGTAAGTTTAAATATTTGATAGCAGAGCATGGTGACTAATTTACAACAATGTATTGTATTTTTCAAAATAGCAAAAAGAGAGGAATTAAAATGTTCCCAGCAAAGAGAGAAATGATAAATGCTCAAGGTCATGGATTCCCTAAATTTCCTGATATCCTGACGTGATCATTACACATTTGATCCATGTAACAAAATATCACATGTATTCCATAAATGTGTACAAGCATTATGAATCAATTAAAAGTAACAGTAGGGAGTCTTCCTATTTCCTATATCCGTTATATCCAAGCCACTCTCTTTCTGGAACAAATATCTTGGTGGTTGTAGTCGGGGGGGTTGATGATGATGATGATGACGATGCTTGTGGTGGAAATGATGATATATTGCTGCTAATAAGCCTCAATTAAATGACTGCTATTATGTGTCAGGCATTGTGCCAACCAAATTTCAGATAGAAATTAGATTTTATGACTTAGACTACTTTATGATGTAAATATTGTTTGGTTCACTTTGCAGTAAAAAAATAGACATTTGGAGAAGTAGAATAATATGTTCTGCAAATCAATCAAACACTAAGAAAAATAAAAGGGGTATAAAATGATACAGAAATAATACTTGCTATGACCCAAAATTCATATAGCAACAATTGTAAGATCTTCCCTGAGGATCACAGAAAGGTAGGAATAAATACAAATGATCATATCACATTGCTAATAAAGCAGATTTGAAAAAGAAACAAAAGATCCATTCACAAATATTATGCAAAGATACTTTATTCAGGGAGTGAAAGGAAGTGACAACTGCACAGGTAGTAGAAGCTCATGCCCAGGGGACAGACAGACACAGGAAATATCAACAGAATTCTCTGATGGTTCCCAGGGACAGAGCTGCAGCTCTTTCTTCTGAAGCTCTGGGAACCGACAAAGCCGAGGACTTCCTTTGTTCAGTCTCCACCTGGACAGTGGCAGTATGGCAGCCTCAGAAAGGAAATATTTTGCAATCAAGGAACATTATGGACAGATCACAAGCTAAAGGGAAGGAAGCTCCCTGTGTATCCATGGAAGGTTTCATGAGAAGACTAAGGTGGAGCTGTGGAACGAGGTGAGCCAATTATTCTTATCCTTTCATGCTCCTGATGGATCCTGAAGCTGTTACTTGTTCTTGGGTGGACACTTCGGCTGGCAGGGTGGGGAAGGTGTCACCGGAGGATATTTCTGCTGGCACTGCTGAGGTGGGCAGGGCTCTGGACACTTTGGTGGTGGGCAGGGCTCAGGGCACTTCGGGGGTGGACATGGCTCTGGGCACTTTGGCGTGAGGCACACAGGAGGTGGCTGGCAGGGCTGCTTGCACTGCTGCTGTTGGTAAGACATCCTGCTGGAGTCTCAGAATCTGAAAGAAATGATACGACAGTGTTCACGGGAAAGGAATCCTCCAGAGAGAGAAGCCAAAGCTTATGTACTACCATGGCATATCATTAAAGCTTATGTAATAACATGACATATTATTTCTCCAATCTCCAAAAATTTATTTAAACTCTTAGCTCCCTTTTCATGACTTCTTGTCTTTTCCTTTCCACTTTAGTAAGTTGCTTCTAGGAAATTCTGCCTTTCCTCATACAATTTTACCAAAGAAAACATCCCTGTAATAAAGAAGCAAGCATGTTAATCCAGGAAATTAACATCTGCAGGAAAGGCAGTCACAAGTTCAGACCCCCTGGGCAATCTCACAAGCTATTCCTATCATCATTATCTGTTGTAAAGCACCGGTGGGTTGACTTGAGCATAGAGCAAAGGGCTGTTCAGGAAGGATGCAGGCTCTCACACCTGCTAAGACACAACCCTTTGAAAAGGACACCAGGAAAATACAGAAAAGAGAAGAAGATTCATCCTTTTCTTCCAACCAAAGCTTTCCTATTAACTTCTCTGTCCATATGAATATGTAACTGTACATTTTTAAAAAGCAATATAAAACACTCTATCACATAGTCTAATCCTATAGTTCCATCCACTAAGTACCATCAACTCCATGATCATAGGTTTGGATCCACCAGACTTGCTGGATTTGATTAAATTCAACATTTCAGGTCAAAAAGAAGAGAACTCAAGGAAGCAGACTCACCAGGTTTTCCAAAGCAGATCGGTGCTCAAGTACCAGGAGTTTAGAAGTTGTGCAGCGGAGAACCTCTTTATAGGGACTGCTACCCCACCCAGCAGGAAATGGAACTGCCTAAACTAGGCTGGTCCAGCAATGTCCCAACTAAAATGCAAATTTATCCATAACTGGCATGACAGGGATTCTCAGACTGGGAAATAGCATGTTCTGGGATCTGTCCACTGGATTAAGTGCTCCTGACTCACGGAGGCCCTGCCTTAGGTCTCAGTTTCAGTGACTTATGGCAAAGAGGGACTTGGGGGATGCTCTAACTGGTGGTCAAGGGCTCTCTTTCTTGATTGGGGGCAATGAATGCTTCCTGTCTAACACCTTCCCTAAATCATAAAACTTCCTGCCCTGATCCACTTTAGCTGAATGCCACATTGTTGAACATTAACCCATCTCCACCTGGGCTTTCCTCGTACAATTTGCCAATATGCCAGAAGGACAGACAGACCTAACAAAGGCCTGAGTTCTGGCCCCAGATGTTTTTGCTAAGTTATATGACCACAGCCAGGTCAACTCACCTCCCTGGAATTGTAAACAGAGCAGCATCATACCTATCTCTGGTTTTGAAGGCACTGACCACATCTTGCCTTCTGCTGACTCTGTTCAAGCCTGAAATTTTCTGCTCCACCTCTATCTTTCTCTCACAGAACCCTAGATTTTTCCTATATTCCTTTTGTCTTTGAAGTTGTCCTACACACTCCTCATAGAGGCACTTGTGTCCCAGGACAGATACCGGAGTGAGATCCAGTCTCCACAGTACGCTTTCTGCTGCTGCTATCAAGGATGTGTACTACAGCCTTTTTATTTATAGAAATGTACTCTTAGACAGCACATTAAGGAAATGGAGAGAAGGGAACCAAAGTTACAAGCATTCATTTTAAATCTATGTATTGAACCATGCCTATATCTTTCCCTGTGAACATCCTATAGAGAACAAAATGCATAGACTCACAGTATCTTATGTAAATAATTAGAAGAAGGTTTGCAGAGTAGAGAAGGTCAGAGGACTTAAAGTCTGATATCTAGGGGAAAATATAAACTAAGTGTGATCCTATATGTTTCCTTTCTCTACTTTTTCAAAGCAGGTTTCAGTCTTTGAAAGACAATATTATTTTATTTGTTTGTATGTTATTCCTTTGTCTTTTCCCAAAGCCCTCTAGCCCCACAACCTGCTAGATTATCAACTCACACCCCAATGTATACCTCTTATCTGTCCATTTTAGTACACATTGTTCACTCGATACACATGTTGCCAATGTGAATCTCTTTCACATCTTTCTAAGACTCTTCCTGCAATCAATGGGGCTTACTAAACATTGTTTATTAAACATTTAAAATAATGCTGCTGGAGCTTCCTTATCCGGGCCAATAATCTGGAAGCTTTCCAAGAATGTGGTTTCATAATTGGAGAAGAAGAAGGAAGAGGAAGATAAGAAAAAAGAGGAAAAGGAGTGACTCAAATTCTCTGGAGCACTCACCAGCTATCCTCCAAATAGAGCAAGAGCACTGAATCAACCCAGCATCACATCCCTCAGTTAAGCAGGTTAGCTTCCCAGATCTGCAACTGCTCCAGTCTCTAAGGAAGGGCTTTTGGCCAAGATCTCCACTGGCCAGATGCTACAGAAATAGAACTATCATGTCAGTACCTTTGTGCCAGGTGTTTACAAATAGTGTTCTCACCAAATGCTTCCTATAGACCATTACACATGCCAAGCACAGTGGGTGAAGTAAACAGACTTCTCTCAATAGGTCCCCTACTCCTCCCCAGAGCCTCACATCACATCTACAACACAAATCCCTAGAGAAATGTCTGATTTCTAACATACAACATTGGAAAATTGGCTGCCAAATGAGATGACTGTGTGAGATAATACAGTTTGGATCATGCCCTGAGACTCCCCTTCTCAGAACACCCCACTCAAACAGGCTGCTTATGGCAGCAGTGCAGGCACCAGAGTGGCAGCAGCCTTAGTGCCCCCAGCATCTCAGACAGGATTAAGACAGGGTTGCTTTACAAGTTGAGATGGTGAATTGGAAACTCAGAGTTCCTCACAGACCAGCTACATGAAGAGTGGCCGCAACATCAAGGGGGCAGCTAATAGTCACAGCTTCCCCAGGTTAGGACATCCAGGCCCTGAGACATAGAGCGAGGTATACTTCACACACACACACAGACACACACACACACACCCCATGGGTCTTTATCATGTCTAAAGAGCTTAGCTTTATCTTCTTTAAGAGTCTAATAATCTTAGGTTCATTCCTATTACTTCTACTCCATAATTTTCTAGGGGATCATTAAGTATGAATTATTAGTATTTTAAAATGTCAGGAAAGAAAAAGCACTTAATTTTTTTTTTGCAATTCACAAAGTATATTTGAATGTTATTAATTATATATTCACTCGTGTGTGTGTGTGTGTGTGTGTGTGTTTATAATGCTATGAAATTTACATCACATACGTAGCTTTGGCTACCTACTACTACAATAAAGATACATAACTGTTCCATTACCACAAGACTTCTCTGCTCCCCACTTATAGCCATAACCACCCCTCCTTTCCCAAATACTTACCTCTAGTAAATATTTCTCTTTTTTCCATCTCTATGATTTCATTATTTTAAGAATATTCGAGTAAATTTATACATCGTGCAACCTTTTAAGAATTGCTCTTTGTTTCATATAACATAATTTCATGGAGATCCATTCACTTCATGCACTTTTAATTTTGTGTTATACTTGATTCAACATTTTATCTCACATTTCAATGCTATACATCCCACTAAACAAAACAGTGCTGGCAAATAAAGATTTAAAATTAAATATGAAAAAAATAAAGAAACAAAATTATGGTAAAATATTCTTGATATGCTCAGAGAAAGGGTAACTGCAGTTCCCCATGCATATCTGTCTTCTGCTTTTATTTCTGAATGAAAGGCTAAGCATCCATTGTCCTTTCATGCTGAATCTGATAAATTACAGAACATACATATGGTAGAATACTGAATATCCTTAAGGTGAATGTTTTGGAAGATTGTTTAATATAATTTAAAACATTTAGAATTATACTAAAAACATGTGAAGCATGATATCATTCTCATCAACATTTATTAAAAGATAGGAAACATATGAAACAATATATTAAATGTGATTATTTATGGCTGGTGAAATTACAGATGATGTTTATTTTCTTATTTCACTTTTCAAAGTATTCTTCAAATGTTACCTATTACTGAGTAAGGAATCTTAAAATTCGACTTTGAAAAGCTGACAAGAGACAAGCCTGTCCATTGTTCAATTAGTCAGATAATTGTCTTTTTTATTTTTTGAGCATTTTTGGGCAGACACTAAAGGTGGAGCTGGAAGGAAGTAGCAGTTGTTTTGTAGTTATAGCTCTACATTTGATCACATCCCTTCTAAAATCTCTCTTGAAGAAAACCTCAACAATGATCCCCATCTGCATAGCAACTGACATTCGTACACAGAAGCCACAGACATGTGATAACCATATGTATCTATAAAATAATTCACCAGGCCAGGAACGGCAGATCATGCCTGAAATCCCAGCACTTTGGGAGACCAACGTGGGTGGATCACAAGGTCAGGAGTTCAAGACCAACCTCCCCAAGATGGTGAAACCCAGTCTCTACTAAAATTACAAAAATTAGCCAGGCGTGATTGCGGAGGCCTGTAATCCCAGCTACTCAGGAGGCTGAGGCAAGGAATTGCTTGAACCCAGAAGGCGGAGGTTGCAGTGAGCTGGCGTCATACCTCTGCACTCCAGCTTGGGTGACAGAGCTAGACTCTGTCTCAAAAAATAAATAAATAAATTTCAAAAAATAAAAATAAAAATAAAACGTTCACCAAAATTGGCAGGTCATACTAGGGTAAAAAAATCAGGAATGAGTTTGTCTACTATCCAAGAGCCAGCCAAATAGAAATCATAACATTGGCCATAATATGATGAAATTGAAAGAAATGGATGATTAGTAGACAGGTAATAAAGATAATAGAACATAGTGATAATAATAGTACCTACCACTAAATTGTCATGAGAAAAAAATTAAATCAGAGACTGCATTTAAAGTATTTAGCACAGGCTACAGATAGTACTCAAAATAGTAAAGAAATCCATGGCTAATCAAAGAGATAGAGGCAAAATATCAAATTCAAGTTGTTTATGGTTGAGAAAGATATTTGTTTTTCTTTAAGACCTTTTATATCAT